TCACATTGCTGTATATTTAGCAATATTTCAACGGTTTTTATGTACGCCTAGTCTTTATATTATTTAATTTTTTTTTTTTTTTGCATTTAACAAATTTTAGGCAATTTTATTTACATTAGAATTTTTTTACGTTGAGCAATTTGTTTTTGTGTTTTTTTCTAACCCACGCAAAGCTTTATTTCTGTCGCATGACTGAGATGTAAACGAACTTTTGGCTCAGCGAATTGCGTTTTTGAGTGATTTTGGAATGTTTTGAATATGTGAACATGCTAATCAAGTCGTATCGGCCTCCGAATCGAGTTGACTCGTCTACGCAATGACATCACTAATAATAATTAATTTAGTTTGCATTTTTTACGTTTGCTCAAGGTGTGCGCGCGATGTCGTCGTCGTCGCCTATTCATTGCGAATGCAGAGCATGTGTAAAGTGGGAGCAGGGGGAGCGGACGAGGCGTGGCTAGAAGTGGGACAATAAGGGGTTTACTTACCGCTGGTGACCACCTTGTTGCACCTGGTCACGGGCTGCAGCTGCTCCATGGTGCTCGGCTTTGCCACAGTGTCGCAATCCACCTGACGTATATTCGAGGTTTCATCCAGTTTGTCCTTGCTGCAATTCACATCCGTCAGGGATTTGCATTGATAGCACTTGATGGCAGTTGCTGTAGATGAGAGAGAGAGAGAGATAGAATTGAGAGAGACAAGGTCAAGTCATACTTTTAAATTACAAATACAATTTGCACAGTTACAACCAGTTTACCTGAGACGCCCTCAGCTACGCTTGGCTCGTTATCTAACGCCTACTGCGAATTAGCGCTTCCAGCTGGAAGCCTCTGCCTCTCTCTATATAAACACAGAACTATTTACGTTTGTTTTTGCTATGAAGTCAGCGAAGCCGATATCTGTGTCTTATATATAGCTGGTAATACGTGCACAATATGGCATTGTTTTGTCATTATTTAATGATTTTTTTTATGCATTCATTGAGTTAATTTATTTGTTGTATGGCTTTTGGAATTCTTGAAATTTAAATTGTTTTTATTTTGTTTTGACTTTGGCAAATGTTTTAACAAAATTACCAGATGTTTCGTTTCGTCTTTAAAATTATAATTTATTGTTGAATATTAACATTTTTTTTTTCGCGAAATTTGTAATATAAATCTTATTTTCAATATTTCAAGGTTTGTTTAAATTTAGAGAAATTTATTTGTTTTTTATAAATTCATAACAAGTTTTCATTAGCTTCATTCAACTCAATTAATTTTCTATTTAAATTTAATTGTTGAAATTTTATTTTCATATTTATATACCATTTTTAAATGGCCCATGAAAAGCTTCGCTAGACTTTAAAAACAAACTTCAAATTAATTTTAATTTATAATTCTTTAAAAATTATTTGCCATGTTAAAAATAATTTGTTGTACTAAGCTAACTCCTTCGGACTTTTAATCTTATAAATGAAATAGTTGAAGTTTCAACATTTACAAATCTTAAATATCAAATCGTTTTAGGCTCGGCTTGCTTTCTGCCCTCTTGACTTATATAACAAATTTCAAACAGGTTTCCAACTAAAGCTTTCCATTTCATTTCTGTCCGATATGCGCACAAATTGTATTTGAAATATTTTCAAATTTGTTTAACTTATTTTCTACGATATAATTGAGAACTTACCACTGTGCATGAGGCACATGGCAATTAGCAAACAGGCAAACATTTGTTTCAGCATTTTCCACAAATTTATTTATACGAATAGAAATTCTTCTAATTTGCTTCAACTTTTGGTTCCACGAACGCTTTCAACCGTTTCACAGTCGACGAACAACTGAATGCGCTGCGAACTTGTTTCGAGTGCGCAGCGTGCAAAGCTTCTTCAGCTTAAATTGTTTAAATAAATTGTGTGAGTGGAACTCAAAACGAGTTCGCTGCCAATGAGACCGACGAAAATTGAGCGAAAACACACAAAAAAGCTAGAAAAAGAAAAGTAAACAGTTAAACTATTTTGTTTTGATTCGTAGCTTCGCTCTTGCAGTGCATGTGTGTGTGTGTGTATATATAGATGTGAGTCTTTCTCTCTCTCTCTCCCTCTCGCACTTTGGGTGTCTTGCTTGTGACTCTTGTGGCTGATCAGTTTTTCATAAATTTAATTTACTTTAACTGAATTTAATTGCAAGCTGACACAGTTTTTCCGCACTACGTATTACACTCATAACCGAGTGTGATATGCGCCATGTTATACCCTGTACAGTGCAGATGATCATGCTCTGTAGTTTTTATATGAAAATTAAGGCTTTGTTATTATTATATTA